ATAAAAACACAATAACTGCATGATCAAGAGCAGCAAATCAATAGACAGATATATATTTTTTTACCTTTAATTTTAGACTAATGATCAACTTCAGACTCTAGACTTTTCCAAGCAAAATACAGACTATTAAATTTCATTTGATACTCAAAATAGTATTGATGTCACAGCAAGGAAGAGTAATTAAAAAATCCAATGCACCCTGCAACTCCATAGGGTAGTGTTTTCCAAACTTGGTTTTGAAAGCCTAATAAATAGTGGGTCCTGAAAAGTTAATAGAATAAAAAATATCAGGGCCATATTGAGTGATAAGGGCATTGTTTGATAAACTTTTATTTCGGGGGGGGTGTGTGTGTGTGTATACTGGATCGCAATGCAAAATGTTTTTCAATGTAAGTTGCTCTGAGAAAGATTCAGTCACTGCTCTTAGGCCGATTAAATTTTGCCTTCTAGAGCCCTCTACAGGCTCTAAACGTTAAAAACTGGAATCCTACAGGAAACAAACCTCTTGTTGGAGGGTGGTCAGGAACTAGAGCTCTGTAGTTTATCCAGGAACAGATGTTTACACAAATAGGCAGGGTTTGGTCTAAGAACTCAAACTGAATGTGTGCACAGCCTCGATCCTGAAGCCAAGTCATCCTCAAGAAGCCCAATTAATTTGGCAAGGTTTCTATATTAACTTTTATCATCTAATTTAAAATTGGGAGAAATATGTCAATATCTCACAGCAATAGCTGTCTGTGACAAACTAAGAAGAGATGGACTCACAAGGACTTTAGGAAACTGTTAACAAGGCATTCACTTTTACGAGGTGTTTACAAGGCAATGCTGAGGGCAGAAAGGTCAGGCGACTAAAAAAGCTTGTTTCCAAAGCCCTACTCTGGGCAAAGAATTGAATAAAGAACAATTTTGATCAAGTACTAAACCAGTATCCTATTATTTTAATAACTAATGGACCACTGTTATTGAAATAGAACTCTGTGACATGGTTAGAAAACTGAAGTGATGTAGGAAATACAGGCTTATTTTCATCAAAAACAAGCTAACAGGCTATTAGATTAGGGCTTTCTTCTTTTGCTCCTCACAAAGATAAATACGAAGAAAAAGTAACAGCAATGTTTTTCATGCTTAATGACCACCACCACCACCAAAAAGAAAAGTTTGCAGAAACCTAAGAGTAGACCAAACTACAAATATCTTGCAAACAATCATCAAACACCATCCTGACCTTAATTTCACCTGTATCAAGTCGCCTATCTCAGAACGCTGGGATGGTTTAGTTAACCTAAGGTCGATTGCAGAACCAGGTAAGAGGCCAAATTGTAGACAATCCTGTAGAAAGGAGATCACTTGGCAATAGAATCAATTTAGCATAAATGAAGGTGGTTCATAATAGTTTTTTTTCTTTATGTTGGTTGATCACTCAAATAGCTGAGACTAAAAATGATACAAAATGGGCAGGTATGCCCTGCAAGAGTGTTGGTCCACTTGTTTCAAGGAACCCTGTCACCTAAAATGATCCGATATGCTCACATTTTTACTATAACATAATTAGATCCAGGCTAGTCTACTGAGGCTCATGATTCAAAGTTTATCCGTGGCTTTAGAATAATTTATATCAAAATCAGTAAAACAATAAAACCAGTAATTTGTTAATGAGGTCCATTTTAGTAAAATATTTGGACTTAATATTAAACAGATATAACTATGTTCAGAATTATGCCTGTCGCTCCCTTAAGTCTCAGAACTAATGTTTATTATAAACATATATAGGATGAATTCATCTATTCAAAACAAATGCTCACACAGCTTATTTGCTATTTACCTAACTCATAAAATACAGATAAAATTTATTTGTAAAGAATGAAAATGAAATTTACTCCCCTTTAGTATTTTCCTGTATAAGCTGAGACTTAAAGAATGACTCTTAGACAATGCATCACCATGTGAGGGGCGATTTTATAAGAAAAGCAATTTTTAAAATAAGAAAGTAGCAGCCCAAGTGATATACTTCCCTTTCTCATCACCACCCAGTCCTTAAGAGTGTAAGGTCACTTCCTTCTCTTGTTATTCCTTACAAGTATCCATCACAATCACTTCTCTCTATTCCGCTTAAGAAAAACATCCTTTCTATTATTGGCAGGCATACTGAAGATGCTCAAGATAACATTAAAATAATCACTTTTATAAAATTGTGCTTTATATCTGGGATACCAAGACCCATCCATGAACAAAGAAATATGGCTATCAAAGCTTACTTACAAGTAATACTTGAATCCATCTCTCTTTCATTTTCAAGACCACCCTGTGGAGGGAGTTATTCTACTGAATATTTAATAGCCAGTGACTTCAGTACCCAAATTCATAGAACGGCACTCATGTACATGAACCCAAAACACACATACATATCCACTACTCACTCACTCTCACACACAAGCAAGCATACACACACACTTTCTTTCTTTCCAGAACAAGTCAGAATTACAGCTCTTTTGGTGATTGTTATAATTTTTGGAATGGTTCATAAATTTTCCAAATTCTTTTAAATTTGTAATGCTTTTCTCTTTTTTTTCTTTTTTTCCCAATTGTGAACCATTCCATATTGCATCTTTATTGCAAAAGTCAACATGCTTCTTAGAAATTCAGATTGTAATTGATAAAACAAACATTACATATATGAATTTAAATGTATAAACAGTTAGAAATTCAACAATATCTCCTATTATACTATTACACAAGTTCACAATTTTGTAAAAACTATAATACAGGCATACTATACATCAAGAGGAACCACTATTCCTTTTCACATGATTTTTTTCTTGTTTTTGAAATCACGATCCATCACTAGGGACTTTTTCACTCTAACAAGACTGTTTTCCAATGTATCCTATTAGCTCGTGACAAAGTTCTCCCACTGTTACAACATGAAGAAATTGAGGGAAATTCTGCATTCCCTGGGGTTACTTTTCTAAGCTTGGGCAGTAATCCATCCAGTGAACCAGGCTGACTAGCTGGATTGGTTAACTCATAGCTAGTTAGAAAGATGTCATACACATTAAAAAGAACAGAATTTGCCTCAGATGGTATATTTTATTTCTGTAAATGAAGATGCCAAGAAAACAAATCATGGTACTCACTTTTAAGAGAAATTCTAAACGCTTGGGGGTTTGAGGGTGGGGATAAGAAAATACTAAAGGCAAACTATATATATATATATATATATATATATATATATATATTCAACTATTTTATTCTAACATTAACTTAAATTTTCTAATATTTAACTCATATTTTGAATTCATTTTTGAATCAAACGTGTTTTAGAATTCTTAGAAAGAACATTTTTAAAGTATTTTAGTCCTATTTAAGATGTATTAAAAATGATGTTGTATACAAAGGGCCTCAAATCTTACTGGAAAAAGTATCTATCTATTCTTCACTTTAACATTCTTCTCTTTCTCCCCCTTCCCCCCATAACTGAAAAAAATCAAACAGATCCTCAACTCTCTCTGTACTGAGTAGAATAAGATGTCAATTTTGAGGTTAAAAAATCATATGAAAAGGAATCTCATTCTGTTGAACTGTCAGTCTACTGAAAATTTTCTTACAGCTCCATTAATTTACTGTAATTTTCAGTTTCCAAATACAAAAATACAACAATTCTTATTGAAATCTATACGCTGGTAGTTTTAGTACACAAAAAAACCAAACAAATTATTTACAAAATTATACAGTTTAAGAAAAAACTTTGTACAAAAAATATATAAATCCTTTGTTCCCTCTATCACGTTTAAACTGTCAGGACTCAAAATATTCACCACAATGAATCTTTCAAAATATATACTGACTGAGCCACAGACATCAAGAAAATTTCATTAGAGATGATGGAGGAGGAAGGAGCAAGATTGCTTATTCTAGGTACCCCATTGTAATGTTTTCCATTCTGTTATAAGCTTATTTTAGTTTCAGTGTTATCAGAAATATATTAATAACCCAGAAAGAGGAAGTCCTTATTATTACTAAGGGGAAATTACATGAACTTGAAAAAAATGGATCCTGGTTTGACACATCATTCCAGGAAAATATGTAGAAAAGATAATCAGAACGTGGGATTAAACTTCTTGTAGCTAAGTAAACCTAGAGTCCTGATGGTTTTAAGTTTCTTAGTGAATAGTTTCTATTTTGAGAAACAGTCTTTACCTCAGGAAACAAAATCCTTTATATAGTGATCACCAAGAACCTTTTGAAGCCAACAGGAAGTTTCAAATTTTCACACCACACCACATATAAAAACATAGATGTGTATATCCTTGAAAAAGTGACATCCTATGTACATTAATCATTTTATTTCCCCAGGGGTCAATACAGTGTAGTGTTGCTCCTCTGCTTTTCCATCAACATTCAGAACACAAGGACATAAATTTACATATATATTTTACTTAACAGGTACTCTACTCTATACAGTGTACAGTAAAAATGCACACAGTGAAGGAAACTGTCTACGGAAGGATGCATATGTTCATGGATAGCAACAAGCTACAAAATTATCAAAAAATAAGGTCATCTGATCAGTCAAGTTATGACTCCCATTTATTACTAGCATTTCCATCTCCCCAACCCCGTCCCACCCCCACCCTATCCCATCACCTCATCATCATGGTTTAAATTTAGGAAACGAATTTCAAAAAGAAAAAAAATTTTTTGGACACTTTTTAACTCTTTTGTGTAACTATTAACTAAACTGAAATTTTAAAAAAGCAAAAAAAAAAAAGCTGGTGACTGACTCTCCCCCAAAATCCTTCCATTATTCTCATCGAAACACTTATTTATCAAGGTGCTGGTTTCAACTTTTTATTGGGGATTGACTTTTTGGGGGCCCAAAAGAATCATTTATTTCAATAATGGGTAAGTCAGGACTATTAATAAAAAGGCAAGAGAAAGGAAATGGTGAAGAGAAAGGGGTCAACAGGTAACAGCCTTTTACATTCTGACAATGTTGTGTGTTTTTTTTTTAAAGAAACAAGTGAACCAATGCTCACTAATTTCAAAGCAAATTAATGATCAGCAGCAGCAGTCCAAGAGTTAATATGATGACAGAATGAAAACACCATGGAGCTAACTACCATTACTTTATAGCATTTAAGAACACAGTTTGTTATGATTTACACTACAATAGTACTTACTACTGCACATAACCCCCCGTCAAAAAAATTTAGATTAAATACAAATTGGGCTCCTCCTCAGTAAAAAATAAAATAAAATAAATTTACTTTTCTTCCAAGACAACTCTTGAAAGCAAAAGGATTATTTTAATTACAAATATCTCCTACTGTCTGACAACCCATCCATAATAGCTAAGAGTTAACAGATTCCAGGCGATTTTGACATTTAATGAAATTTTATCAGATTATAATCCAAAATAAAATTTCTGAACACCCTGTCATTTACAACCTAATCCAACACCAATAGCAACAAAAACAGGTGGTGTGGAAAATAAGGCTCTAGAGATTATCCATGTCATTCCTGCGGGTCTTCACAACTGTGTAAAAGTCACTAGGCCTTTGGTGCTTTAATATCATGTACAGCTATGAGATGTGTTTAAATAGCAAACTTGCTGTCCTTAAATCTACTGTGTTGAAAAGAAAAATAAAAAAAATTTTTTTTGGCTCATTGACTTCTTTAAATAATTTTAAAAAGTTGTTCTTCTAAACAGCATTCCTAAAAATTATACAGCTCGCATCAGATTTCATCTTCGCCATGAACGAGACTCGTACTCATCTTCGTCTTCGTCGTCGTCATCATGCAAAAACAAATCTGAGGTTTCCGTTTCCTGAAAAAGAGAGGGTGAAATCTGCTTAGTGGCACAAGAAGGTGAAGTAAAATAACTTTTTAGGCCAAAGGACAAACAGACTAGCATACACAGCCCAGGCTGGATTTACAAGTGATGCACTCAGAGTCTTTTTCAGGGAAAACAACCCAAAACAGTTTTTTTTAATGTACATATATTCTTCTCCCCTAATTTTGCTTGGTTTTAATAGAAGATTTCTATTCAAATATCATCAAGAAAATATTAATGTTTAGTAGAGAAAATAAAAGAAAATTTACCTATGTAGTGTTTTTGATACAGTTAATTTTATTCCATTAACTTAAAAAGGAGAAAAGTAAATGACCATTCAAACTCCTAAACCTTTCCTTCAATATCCGGTTATTGTTTGAGGGGAGAACATACTAACTTCCCCATGACACAGACATTCCTAATCTTATATAAAAATCTAAAATCTTACACAAAGTAGAAGTATCTACAAATAGTCCCTAAATACCAAGATTTATCTTTTCTTTCTTTCTCGTTTAACACAGATTTTTCTTTCCTTTCTTTGTTTTTTAACACAGGAAATGTTCTCCTTTTGTTGTATAAAATTAACCATACGTTAGAAAACTCTTGATTGACCATAAATGTTAGACATCTTTTAAAACCAAAATCGTGATAAACCAGGAATAACTTGCAATGCTGGCTAAGTGTCCGTTTTAATAAACTAATTAAAAATATGGGAGTAAAGGCGGCCAGCCGAGTGGCTCAGTTGGTTAAGAGCATGAGCTCTGAGCAACAGGGTTGCTGGTTTGATTCCCACATGGGCCAGTGAGCTGCGCCCAAGCTGAGCTGCCACTGAGATGGTGAGAGAGAGTGTGTGTGTGTGTGAGTGTGTGTGTGTGAGTGTGTGTGTGTGTGCGCGCGCGTGCTCTTAGCAAGGCTGCCGGTTCGACTCCCGCATGGGATGGTGGGCTGTGCCCACGCGCAACTAAGATTGAACATGGCGACTGGACTTGGAGCTGAGCTTGCACCCTCCACAACTAAGATTGAAGAACAACAACTTGACTTGGAGCTGATGAGTCCTGGAAAAACACACTGTTCCCCTTCCCCAATTCCCCAACACTGTTCCCCTCCCGCCCCCCCCCAAAATATATATATAAGTAAAAAACCAAAATTAATTCTCATATATTTTAAGAAGTTGATTACTAAGTACATGTAGCATGTGCAAGTCTTTGATTTTCCTATTCTTCCCTCTTATGTCCGACTTCCTTACACTCTGATTTTAAGCAACTGTACAGAGAAGGAAAATATGAAACTCAAATCCATTACTTATGGAATTTGAGTTATCAAAAAGCTAAAACCATCTGATAAAAATTAATTTATTCATGTAATCCATGTCTTATTTACCAGAATAAAAATAACTAGAGCCCAAATAAAACCAAAATAAACGCAAATAAAATAGAATAGTCTTTCCTAGACTAGAAAATAATCCCCCAAAGAGCTTTTTATATTTCTGCACCTGTTGATTCTTTAATAAACTTCTAGACTAGTCTTAACTAACTTCATGCATGAAGGAATTCAGTATTTCTATTTTGATACTATTTACTGTCAAGGAAAATATATAATTGGGTAATGATCTAATTCAACTCTTGTTTCCAATGACTAAATTTACCTCCTCCTTCACTTCTTCTTCCTCAGTCTCCGTGGATACAGAAGGCACCTTGGACTTGTGCCATGATATTTGTAGCCGACGGTCTTTGAATTTTGACCCTTGGTTTGAAGCCTAAAATAGATTTTAGAAAAGCACAAAAGTTTGTACTCATATTCACTAATGATTTCTTCAAATTCTGTGTTATTTAAAAAGTGACATGATGGGGAGAAAAGTCAAAGTGTATCTACAATTTCCAACAGGAGCTAGAAAAGGTGACATCTTTTTAAATTGGTAAATCATATGTTCTGGTTTGCCCAGGATAGTCCATGATTTATTATCTGTGTCATGTAAACAGGACCTGTCTTGGTTTGGACGATGAATAATATAATCAACTCTACTGAAAAAATCACGATGACAATAAAATTATTGGCCTTGGACTCTGACAATCTATGTGTGTAGCCTGAAACCTTAAGAATGTATTTTTAAAAAACTGTCTATTCATCACATGTCATCTTTTATAGCCCCACCTATATTTGACAATGCTATTCCCACTTCCTGTTCTATATACAACAATGACAATTACTCCCCAGCTCATCTACACATTCAACAAATGTTAAATACCTACCATCCTAACTCAAGGTAAAACTGCTCAGTTTTCAATTATTTCTTGGTACAATTGTCTAAACATTTTTTTCCTTTCCAGCAAATTTCAATAAGAGAAAGCACAAGTTTAATTTTAAAGACCAACCAACACGAACAGAAGAACAGAGACCCAAAGCATCATGAAAGTGAAGCTTAGTCATTCCAAAAGCTTTCCATCAGCGGTGCTGGATTGTAGACTATCCTCAATTCTTGGTTCAGTCCTGAAAACCTTTAACAGAAGGGGTTCTTTTATATGTGAGCTTTCACTCTAGTTTTTCTAGGAAAAACATTGATAAGCTTCAAGAAGCATTTGCAGGATGTTTTCACAGAACATTTAGATCACTGCAGTGTAACAGGATACATTAGGCCAGACCCATAACAAGTTAATTGCTGTTTGCATAGGTACCAGCCTTTGGCTTAAGGAAAAATTTCCATTATTCCTGGTAGGGGCTGAATGTTTATAATCTGACACCAAGCATATGACTAGTGGGATATAATAAACTGATGTATCAAAATGGACCTACCCAAACATACATTTACCATTTTTAAAAAACCAGGTAGTTGCTAAGAGAGATCTTAAAAATTCTCACCACGAGAAAAAAATTATAACTATGTGAGGTGATGGATGTTAACTTATTTTAGTAATCATTTCATAAGTGTACATTTATCAAATCATTAAGTTGTACATCTTAAATACAACGTTATATCTCAATTCTATCTCAATAAACCCGGGGGTGGGGGAGTCAGGTAAAGTGTGTAACAGACATCCTTTAACACAGAGCCCAACTATAAAGAGACTTTTCCAGTTTATTTTGTTCGTTTCTGTATTATTTGAATTCTTTTTTCCAAGCTTTATCGAGGAACAATGGAGCACTAAAATTATAAGGTATTTAAAGTGTACAACATGATGATCTGATATTCATATACACTATGAAAGGTTTCCCCCTGAGTTAATTAACATATCTATCACCTCACATATTTACTAATATCTCTCTTTTTTTTTTTTTGGTGAGAACATTTAAGTTCTACTTAGCAAATTTCAATTATACAATAATTATCAATATAGCTGCCATGTTATACATTAGATCCTTACACCTTATTTGTTATTTGAATTTTTAAATAATTATATATTACTTTTATAACCACAAAAAATAATATAGATTTTTTTTTTAACCTACATTAACTGGGTTGCCCTCCAAAGAAGGTTGCAGTTCTGTCCTCCAAAAGGAACTTTAAGGCATTAAATGAACTGCATATATATTATTGAAGAAAGAATTAGAAATTTAACTTGTATGTAGTGAGGAACTAAAAATAAAAATAATGCCCACTGTCTGATTTATAATAAATAAGATTAGTAATGAGAATAAAAATGTACAGTTGAGGGCCGGCCGAGTGGCGCGATGGTTAAGAACTGGCTTGGGATGCCAGAGGGCCCCGGTTCGGATCCCACATATGAGGGCCAGTGACACTGCCCTCCACAGCTAAGATGCTGAACAACAGCTCAACCTGGAGCTGGGCTGCTGCGAGTCTCCGGCGACGTAGGCTGCAGCCCCTGTGGCCATGGGTTGCCATAGGCTGCCGTATGTAGCCAGCAGCCAGCATGAGCAGCCAGCAGCCGCAGTGAGCGGCCGTCCAGAAGCAGGCGACTGATCTGCCTTGCCCGGAACAGCGCAATGATGGTGCCAACTTGGGCCAGTGAAGCAATGTCCTCCACAACTAGACTGAAGAACAAAACAACAGCAACTTGTCTGTTCCCCTTCCCCAACTCCCCAGCACTGTTCCCATCCCCCCAATTCCCCAATAAAAATCTTAAAAAAATAAATAAATGTATAGTTGACCCTTAAATGATTTGATTTGAAATGCACATGTTTCACTTCCAAGAGAATTTCAAGGTTAACATGTTTTCGATGTGTGGATGGAAATCCAAGTATGCAGAAGGCTGACTTAAATAATATAAGGGTTTTTCGACTATGCAGGTGGTTGGCACCCCTAACTCCAGTGTTGTTCAAGGGTCAACTGTATTTTAATAATACCAAGTCAGGAACTCTCAGTACTGGTGGGAACCTAAACGAATAAAATGCATGCAATTCACTCAACAATTCCACGCATGTCTAACAGAAATGCATACAAATATACACTAAAAGACATCTGTAAATGTTCATAGCATCACTGGTCATAAAAATAAGTGAGAATAACCCAAATACCTATCAACAGGAGAATGGAAAAATAAATTGTGGTGGATTTATAGAACTGAAAATTATACAACAAAAATGGCAAACTACTGTTACATGTAACATGAATAAATCTCACAAAGCAAAAGAAAACAAGACTCAAAAGAATACGTACTGTGCAGTTCCAGTCATATACATTTTAAAAAATAGGCTGAATAATACTATGTTTAGGAATGCACACTTAGGCGATAAAACCTTGGTTGATTTGCAGGAGTTATATAGAGGCCACTGCCAGCACCGAATTGGCAAACACTGAAGCACTGCTCCTAGGGGAAATACAGGGCTAGGTTCCTATGTGCCTCTGGTCAAAACATTTTCCTCAACTGATCAATACATAACTTTGACTTATGTTTAAAAGACATCTTACCTAATACAAGCATTGTTGATTCATTAACAATGGACTCACGACCAAACGCACAGTCACTCATGCCTGAACAAAGATTATCTAGCACACATATCTTCACCATAAGGCACATCACTGCCTTTTTGAACTTAGGAATGCACACAGCTTCAGAAATACACTTCGGGGCCATTTTAAATAGTGAAATCACTAAAGAAAAGCACAAAAATGAGAAAAACGTGGCAGTAAATAGACTGTGAAAAGCACACACGCTTCCAGTACACGAGAGCTGAAGCAAGAAGGCAGCGCCACTCTGACTTCAGCCGGTAGGTCAAGTGTGCATCAGCTGACTCAAATTTTTCCCAGCTCTGCACGTGTCTGAGAATGACCATGAAAGCACCTTGGGTACTGATTTTGAGGTTACAAAGTAAAAAAAAAAAAAAAAGGTGAATTAGCATATACGGAATCCACAAAACAAATAATGAGGATCAATAGTATGAAGAAAGCCAGGGAGGTGATTATCATAAAATGAGGATAATGGTTCCTTTTTTGAGGAGAAAAAGAGGTAGCGACTGGGAGGGAGCTTTTGGGGTGCTGGGAATGTTCCATTTCCTGACCTGTGGGGCAGCTACATGGGAGTTTACATCACTGATAAAGCACTGAACTATATACATTTCTAATTGGTATAGTTTGTTTTAATGAACATTTTAGATTGATTATCTTTAAAATTTTAAGGATATCTCAACTAGCTAAGATATTTATGTTAAAAAAGCAAGATTCGGAATATATTTATAATATCTCATTTTGGTAAATTTTTTTTTAAGTGACTTTATGTATTCTTATATTCATAATTTTTTTCCTATAAAGAGAACCATGAATAGTGACTACCTTTTAAAAGTAGGCAAGGATTCAGAAGAGGGGTTATTTTTACTTTCTACTAAATCATACTTTAAATCATTTCCATGTATTAATTTTTTATTAAAAAAATAAAAGATTTAGAACTGGCCTATTAAAATATCACGCTTATTAAAATATCTAACTTTTCTACACACATATATATTCTCTTTCACACACATTATCTGTAATATGGCTTGAAATAACAAAATATTGGGGAAAAGTTAGATGTCCATCAATACGGGACTGTTTAAATCTAGTATGGCACATCTATGCAATGAAATACCACGCAGCTATTAAAAGGAATAAAGCAACACCATATGCATTAATATAGAATAATCTCTAATAACAATTTCATACATATTAAGTGAAAAGTGCATATGCAAAAGTGCTGTATAACATGCCACCATATGTGAAAAACAGATCAAACAATACACATCTAAAGAATATCTTTGAGAAAGTAACAGCAATTGTCTACGGAAAGTGAAACTGAGTGATGGAGGCAGAAGGAAATCTTATTTTTCATTGTATACACTTTTATTTCTTCTACACTTTGTATATGTGTGTTGCCCCCCAAAATAATTCAAATGTTAATATGCGAATGTATATGTAAATATGAGCAAATCAATTATGTACCATCACTGAAAAGTTATACGTAATAACTTAAGAGGTACTTGGAACCTTAGAGGTAGAATTTACTCAGGGAGAAATTCATCTAGCCCAGCCGTTTTCCAAGATCAGAAACTGATGCCAACTCTGTGCCAATCATCATTCATCAATCACCTGACTCAAACAAAACTCAAGTGTTGTTGAGGGTCTGGGAAAATAGGTCCTCTCATCCAATGTCACTATAAGTATAAATTAGTACAACTTTCCTGGAGGGTTATTAGCAGGCTGTACCAACATTTTAAATATGCATGTCTCTGAGCCAGTCATCTCACTCCTGCAAACTAACCTAAAGCAGTGGGTCTCAACTGGGGACAATAATGTTACTCAAGGGGGCATTTGGTTGTCACACTGACTGAAGAGCACTTAGTGGCATTTAGGAGGTGGGAGCCAGGGTGCTAAAGGTCTTGCAATGTGTAGGACTGTCCTACATAACAAATTATTCAAAAATGCCCAAATCCAATAAGATGGTATGTAACATTGTTCCCAATAGTGAGAAAATGGGAAACACTCTACAAGTAACTAGCTATCCACAGGCAGTAAATACCAGTAGTGCACAAAAGAGGGATTTTTTTGGGGGGGATGGGGAGGTGGGAATGGGAAGACGAATACGTCCTGGGAAGGCTTATTTCACGATCTTCAAAAATGTCCTAAGAAAGGTACTCTTCCTTTTCTGCTTTAAACATTACTAGAGGCTGTGATGTTCGCTGTTACAGCCATCCTGACACCATGAAGATAAAGGCCTAAAAACAAAAGCCAACACAGTAGGAGAGTAGAGAAAAAATATGAAAACCTGTGTGGCAGAGTTTAAGAATTAACAAATCCGTAAACCATCCTTACTCCTAGACTTCTTGAAAAGAAACAAATGTCCCTATTTTCCAAGTTATTTATGTTACCTGCAGCCAATGAATCCTGAGAAGTGTGTACTGCTTTCATAATCAGGAAGAAGAAAAACGAAATCAAGATTCACTCTGTCACTGAGGATAACAGCTAAACCACGCTACCCCAGTTCAAGAATTGTGTCGTTGAACCGATGCATATTACTTGAAAATACAGTTCAAGTATTCCAAACGTTCAGTATAAATAACGTTCCCTGTTGAAACCGGCCAAAGCGCTCTTCCAGCAGCGGTAAAGGCATGAAGCTAAGGTCCTGTCCTGTCTGTGCCCTTGAGCAAGGCTCTCGGACTTAAAATTTTCAGCTCCTGACCTAAACTTTAATATTAATATTAAAATATTTAAAGGAAATTCTTTAGGAAGGTTTTTAATATCTTCAGATCTCTGTCACATGAAAGATCTATAAATAAGGATTCCTTTTTAAGAAGTTCTTTCTGGACTCCCTGACTTTATCTTTTAAATATATAAAATTCTATTTATGATATATCATTCCATGTTTTTAAACTTAAGTATTTAATATATGAAGTACAGTAAAACCTTGGATTGCGAGTATCTTGGTTTGTGAATGTTCCGCAAGACGAGCGAACATTTCTAATACATTTTAACTTGGTAAACGAGCGATGTCTTGCAATATGAGTAGTTTGTTTCCAGAACGAATTATGCTCGCAAACCAAGATATTATTGTAATAAAATACTATATACTAGGGGTCGGTAAACTATAGCATTTGGGCCAAATGGGGCCCAGGACCTTGTTTTCAATGGCCTGTGAGCCAAGAATGGTTTTTACATTTTTAAAAGGAAAACAAAAAAAAGAGAGAGTGAGAGAAAAGAAGAAAGAGGGAAATGGAGGGGCAGGTGAAAGGGAGAGGGGAGGAGAAGAAAACGTTACAGACAGAGATTGTACAGTCCTCAAAACCCTAACATATTTACTATCTGGTCTTTTATAGAAAAAGTCTGCTGACCTCTGATATATCCTATTAAAATATTTACATATTATGTGTTTTATGTTGTTGTATACAGCTTGTATTGTATATTAAATACCTTATATATTTTAAACTTATGTTACTTTAATTTACACATATTTTTATATAGGTGTCTGGGACCTAAAAGCCCAAGATGAACACATATCCTCAAATTTGGTTTTAAAATCTACTATAAAGGAGCTGACGTTTCATCCTAAAAGTGAATGTGAGGTTAAGAAGTCTGATTCAAAAAGTAATATATGTTCATTTGGAAAGCTAGAAGTGCTTATGTGGAAAAAAATGGATAACTTGAATCCTGCCACCCAGAACTGATTTAATGCACTTTCATTCCTATAACAGTTTATGTTTAATCTTGCATCCCCCTTTTCTTAACCTAAAAGTGAATCCTGAGAATTTTCTCATGTCACTATTCTTAAAAATCATGTTTTTAATAGCAGTAAAGTACTGGTGAGTATTTAGATTGTTTCCATTTTCACTAATATAAAGTGTGCTACAGCAAGCACATTTACAGGTATCGTTTGCATGCAACCATAACAATTCTCTTATGGTAAATTGTTAGAAGCAGATTAGTGGATATAAAAATAAACTGAAGGACTCCAAAACTGGGTCTTCACTCTTCAGAAACACTTCACTAAAACCCATCCGTCATCTAACATACAGATAATGGTTCTTCCACGATCCTTTCACAATTAAGGACAGTAAAAGAATATTGAAAATAAACATTCTATCTTTATGGGATATAAAAAACCTCAAAGAAGCGTTATCCTTTAAGTCTGCTAAATATATTTACAATACTATCTAGGCTTATGTATTTCTGTACTTCTTTCAAAGAAAGAATACCATCTGCCCAAGTATCTGTTACTAGGGTAAGTCTGTTTCTAGTACTCAAGACGTTATGATAGCACTTTATCAAAACAAATAACAAAACACCATTAAAACAAAAACAAGTAGCAAAACTTGCTACTTCTTCAATTTACCTCCACCTGCCTTGGCTTTGTTCACGCCTTCCCCAAACACCTGGACATGCCCCTCTCCACAAGCCAAATGCCATATTTCAGACTTATCAAATGTACGTCCGCAAAACTGGTTATCATTAGATGTTCTAGAATGATTCTGCTTATGAGATGGAAGGAGACCCATGTGAGCATGACTTCTGGGTTAAAAATTAAACATCTTCACTACATATAATCTCCAGTGACCCTCAAGCCACAGCACGCAGCTTCCTGCCTCCCATGACTACCTACTTTTTGTACAACGGAAACTTTCTGCAAAGTCAAATTTATATTAATAAAAGTTCTGCTTTACATAACCCAGTATCACCTCACCAGAGCTGGCACTGGGTCTACATGCCCACCTTATTTGGCAAGGTTTTCATTTTATATACTCAGCACTAAAAGATAAAAATCAACACTCATCCAGCCTCCACAAGAAAAGCCTGCATGTGCAAAGCGTTTCTCCATGTATTATCTTCTTTCCTCCTCAAAGGAGTCAATTAAAACTAGTCTCCACTTTACGAAAGAGAAAACAAGGGTCAGCCTAGTGAAAGAATCGGCTCAAGAGTAAACAGGCCACAGCCCCAGGTTCTAAAATCTGGACACTTTATAACAATCCACCATTCTCCAACCATCAGGGTAAAACAGGATCAACGGGCAGCAAACTACTAAGAAACTTTGGAATAAAGTCTTGCTCCTTCAGCTTTCCCTCACCATCTCTAACACTGAATAAGGCTGAAATTGTTTTCCTACAAAAAAGCTGTTTGAGGAATAGAGGTCCTGGATGTTAACAGCCAACTCTATTTCTCTCTTGGTCCTACCATTTGTCTGGCTTGGTTAATTTACATTCAAGCTTTAGTATTGCCATTGGTCCACACAGGATTTCATGTGCACTTTCTATAGTTATTTAAGATTAAATGAGATCTTAATGCAAATGCTCTAGCACAAATAACACTCAATAAATAGTGAATGAAGCAATGAGCGGCTGGAAACAGGAAATACTGTTTATGTGCAAATAGACATTTCCCTGAAGCAAATCTGTCTAAAAGTAAATGGCAGTCACTGTACACAGAATATAACTAAACAATGGGGGGAGAGGGGTTGTCACTTTGTGAGGGGTGAAAAGGATAACTATTGCATTATTTTGTACACCTGAAACTTAAAAATATATATATATATAATATATATATATATATAAATATATATATATATATATATATTTATATATATATATACACACAACTAAACATGTCTCCTATCCTAATAAACTCTTCCTTTGAATTTGCCTCCATCCCAGATTATTTTCACTACTGACTGTACACACCTATATTACATGTAAACCATGTAATAACCCTAAAACAAAAATCAAATATAGCTCTGGAACAACTTGTCATTACAAACGCATTTACGAGGAGTATTACGGAATTACAGAGCATGAGCTGCTTCTTGACCTTCAAGTGTATTAATAAGAATTTGCTAATATGCATGTTTTTTACAACTTATTTTCTAATCTATAAAACATTTGACATTTATAAAGAATGCAGCCAGGAAATGCTGAATACAGTGTTTTTAGAGTTAGCTTTTGCTACTTTAAAAACTTACTGAGAAATGCTGAAGTAGATCATCTTTTTCCTCTTCGGTGAGTCCCCCAACTGTCAGAGCTTTGGGGCGGTGGTCCACCACCATGTGATTTAGTGAACCCCTTCCTCTCCCTCCACGACCTCGGCCTCTTCCTCGGCCTTGGGAGGACATGGTCTTTCCTCGACCCACAGGTAAAATACCTAATCGTGCAGCCTGAATAACAACAATCAAAGGTGGAATATAATACACTGTTAGACTAAACCTTGGAAAACAGAGGAAGAGAAAACTATTTACTGAGATGTAAAATGTCATGAGTCAGTAACTCCTTTTAAGTCTCACCTCAACCTGTAACTGACTGAGTTTTTTCCGCAGCTCAGTTGTATCTTCTCCTGAGGATAGCTTCTTGTGAAGATCCAGTTCAGTATCTAATAGTTCTTTCTGGGCCTTTGGAAAAATTAAGAGTAAAATGTGTTTTTTAGATAACTTCCAAAGATCTTATTCACAATATTGTACTTACAGAATGACACACAGCTCTTTTGGGAAAATGAAAGTGAAAGGATGCAACAAATATGGGTGTTTTAGACAAAGTAATTTTACAGATATAATACTGACAATATGTAGACAGTGTAATGATAGCAATAAAAATAATAAGTATTACTGTTTAAGATGACCTAAAAATCCCTCTCGGAAACAGTCATGAGATGAGGGAGCTGAGAATAATCTTCATATAATAAAACATCATAAATGAAACAAAATGGGGCAAAATAAATTATATAGTAAAAATTCATTAATGGTACAAACATAACAGTTATACAACTGCTTTCAGATATGAACCATATAACTATTGCCACTCTTTTTTGGGTTAAGCGACAAATTATTAGTCTTTAGGTACGTGACTATGAGAGATTTTTTTCTCCCGTAATCTCTTTAATTTCAAAATGTGCACGTTCTTTCTATAAATGGGGGAAATGTCAATAAAAACATTTATTATATTTTTTAAAAGCAATCTTAATAAAAACTTTACCTTCCTATACTGAGAACCACAATTTAAAACATAATATAATATTATACATAATAATTTATGTTCCATATATCTGACAAATGTATTCCCACTTCTCAAAGGGCTGGGAATTTATCTAAAACCCCACTACAGAGCTGTGGTATAACAGAACCACTGTGTAAAGCAAGTATTCTACGATAAGGAAACAAATGGAAATTAGCAAAATTAGACTTAAACCGATCTAGAACTTATTCTTTCCAATCAAATGTCACATTTCTGCCCCTATTAAAGCCAATCATACCTTCTGATTATGAAAAGGAATAATTTTATTATTCATTATTATAGAATTACAAAAAAACCCTGCTGAAATAGAACTATCTCTTTGCTCGCCATCACTCTAGCAGTTTCATCTTTAGTACAGAGAACCAAAAAATTCAATTAAAAGACACATCTTTGTTCAAACAGGGTATTATCACCTCTTTCAAAGAGTACACAGCAACTATAGACATATTTAGGAAACTTGTTGCTATAATTGTCTCCCCGTCAGATTATTAGCTACCTAAGGGTTCCATTGTACTTTCAAAGTGCCAAGTACATAACAAATGTCAATACCCTATTCTGAACAAAAAAGGCCAAAAGATACCTCTGTTTTGGTCTTTACTTTAGAAGTTGTGGAGGCTGCAGAAGACGTTTTTAATTCATCTTTTAGTTGTGAGATCTTTTCTCCAAGCTCTTTCAAAGTCTTCATCACGTTTGCTCTCTCTTCTGGTTTCATGTTTTTGTTTTTTTCTAGCTTGGATATTAGCATCTATAAAACAAACAGAAAAAGTAAAACCATGCTAGTAAAGTTTAATGTAAATAACCCTTAAAAACTTTACCCATAGGGATATCTTTGTAAAATCCATCCTATACATCAATTCCAACAGGCAAATAATGAGTCTTACCTTCTGGCATTCTATTTGTTTTTCTAACACTTCTTGCCTCTTTTTCCTCATATCTTGTTGTAGCTTCATTGCTTCCTACATGAATAAGTGAAGAAAATAATTAGTAAGGGGTAACAAAATTTGCCAATGATACATAATGCTACTTTATTCTCAATTCATTTCTTCTAGGCCATCCCTATATAAGACAGATTTTCCTCCTAATCAAAAAATAGCTGAAACCAGAGATAAAACCTTTAAATGTATTTTCCCCAATACTCTCAGAAGTTTACATTTATAACTATATTTTTAAATATATTTAAAATACTGAACACTAATTAACTGCCTCTATGAGATTTATTCACTTGAATGACTTCACTTGCCAATGTAATAAGCCAAATCCTTATTTTTGAAGTTAAGTTTAAAAATGTGAGATGCAGCTACAGGTTAGAACCAATAGCACAATCTATGGGTTTTTGCCAGGAAAATGTTACCTCCCACTCCTGTTAATTAAATCTCCAATTTTACTGAGATAATATAAATATCTATTTTATTTGAAAAACTCTATGTGAGCTTAAATATAACATGATAGGAAACTCAGAATTGAGTCATATAACTACATAAATATTATACTTTATATGAAATGCAAAGCCAGAAAGGAATTAAAAGAGAAAATAATGAAATAAAATGTCTGCTTCTATCTCATGGAGGATGAAAAAACATGACAGCTCAGTACTGTTTACCTTTATACCAAAAAAAAAAAAAAGTCCTTGTACTTGATGTAGCCACTGAAAGGCAATTGCGAAACATTTTTCTGTTTGTTCATCTTTTGTTCAAGAGTACACTGCATCAAGCAGCAGCTAAATAAACACAATGCAGTTCCATAGCAATGTGAACCCTTCAAAGGTGTTAACAAAACCACTTCAGAATTCAATGGCTCCTTTCTCTTTAAGGAAAGAAGAATCAAAGCTGTTACCTGCTTCTTTTTAAGAGCTTCTTGAACATCGTGAGATTTAGACCCTGTACAAAGTTTTGAAGGAGTCTTTAAGTTTGAGGAGCTGTAAATCATTTTTGGATGCCCCGGAGGTGAAAATATCTATGAAACACAAACATGATTAAATTAAATCTTAGAAATGATTTAAAGCCATTTTTTAAAAAAGATTCCATAAATTTCTTTTTTTAGGAGTTTGTTTTTTTTACACTTATAAAACTAGCTCCTTATATTCAATTGTCACTCAAATACAAAAACATAAATTTTCAGCAACAATGCTGTGTTTTTTAATGCAATCAAATACAAAAACATAAATTAATTTTCAGCAATAATGCTGTGTTTCTGAATGCAATCACATATTTTTCTTCTCTTTGTATTTTTTAATGGTGAGAAAAGGAACAAGCCCTGAGCTGACCTCTAGGAGCTGGCTTTAGTGTCCTACCGTTAAACCTAAACAATTTCACAGAATATCAACCCCAGACAAGGCCACTCTTGCGACTGTGATGGATCAACAAACAAGACCACTCCATAATCATGACTGAACACAGAATACTATCCAAACCATAAAAATGATTAAACGTTTCTCTACACTGGCTGACAGAAACGACTATAACTTCTTTACCAATCACAGCTTTTGCCATTCATTCCAGTCTTCCCACCTCCTAGATAAGATTTATTAAGATATCTGACCACAGAACTATTGTTTCCTTAAACCCTCCCCAAAATTCCCTAACACAGCCTAATCCTAAAATAAGTTCTTTCTAATACCCTCTAACCAAAGTGCCCTACGGTTTCATTGTGTACATTCCCTCACTGAATAAACTCGACTTGTTCAAGTCCAGGTGTGTTCCTGGTGGTCTCTGGATGGAGGGTACTGTTTTAAGTTCTTTTCTATATGTGCAGTGCCAAATAAGAACACATGTTTCTAATAACCTTCTGAGAAGTAAGGTTATTAGAATCTTAATAACTTTGTAATCAAAATCTTAATATTATATTTAATCAAATGCTTTGTAATCATAATCTTAATATTATATTTAATCAAATGCTTTCTTTCCCAACACACTGTTCTTTTCCTTAATTTTAAATTAACTTTGAATACATGATGTAAGGGACATAGGATATAATAATATTAAGAAATTCATGGAAAATTCAACTGTTTAAATAGTATATCCAAATACGAAACTATTCTCAACCATACAGTATTTAACTGTCTTCAAAATTAAGCTTCTTTACACAGGAAAGTCTCTCAAGAACTGTAGAAACACTGCGCAGCTGATGTTCATGTTATTATGATTATTTACTAAAACAAAAATGACAATGCCTACAATTTACTGAACACCTATTACGTGTTAAGCACTCTCCCATTATGCTTTACCAATATCAAAAATTTAAATCTCCATAGCAACTCAGTTTACTGAAAAGGAAACCAATATTCACAAGTTATCTAACACAGCTAGTAAGAGGCAGGTCAAGTCAGGGCTGTTCAACTTCAAAGTCTGTAATTATTTTTGTTTCTCTAACTTTTTATAATGGAATTTTTGAAACAGACAAAAGTATAGTTACATAAAATACTTGAAATATCCATTACCAAGCAGCAACAATTATCAATACATAAAATAATCTTGTTTTATTTAAATCCCCAACTACATCTTTATAGCACACACATCATTTTATCTGTAAATATATCAGTTGTATCTCTAAAAGCTAAGGACTGCTTTCTTTTTTAAACATAACCATAGTATCATCATCACACTTAAAAGTTAATATTGGGAGGGGGTGGGGATGAGGGAGAAGGGGAAGGGATTAGACAGCAAAAATATGTAACTACAATATTGCCACAGGGACATGAAAGACAGTTCGAGGAATATAATTAATAATGTTGTAAATATTTTGTAGTGTGTCAGATGGTCACATGTCTCACTAGGGAGACCGCATCATGGATGCGGTAGAGGCTTGATCACTGCACTGTACACGTGAAGCTGATGTTGTATAATATTGTATGTCAACTATAAGTGAAAATATATACACACACACATATATATATAGTCATGGGACGTGGAGTATAGTGTGGGAGTGGAGTCAAGGGAACTGTAATAGATATGTATCATATGGGGGGGTAAGTGGGGTGGCGAGTTGGGGGAGGGTGTTGTCACCTCGAGGGGTTAAAAGTATAACTATTGCACTGTGTTGTACAGCTGAAATTAATTCTAAAAAATGTGTATTTCACAATAAAAAGTAATTTAAAAAATTCTATTTCTAGACACTAGAATGAACGATATGAAAATGAAAGAAAACAATTCCAGTAACTAGACTTATTGTAGTGATCATTTTGCAATATATATATCAAATCATTATGTTGTATACCTGAAACTAATATGATGTTATATGTCAATTATACTTCAATAAAAAACATTTTTAAAATGAAAACAATTTTATTTACAATAACATGAAAAAGAATAAAATACTTGGAGTAAATTAAAAAAGTTAAGAATTCTTTAATATCATTAAATATGCACATTTCCAGATTGCATTACAGTTTTCTAAATATTTTTTCCCATCTGAATTGGGATCTGTTATGGTCCATAAAGTGTAATTGGTTTTATTTCTTTCAAGCCACCTTTAATTCTGCTCCCTCACTCCTTCTTTTCCTCGAAAATTATTTGTTGAATAAACCAGGTCACTCATCCTGTAGTATTCACTACAGTATATAGTACCCTTGAACTTGTTTCTCTGTCCTCTAAATTTTTAAAAAATTGATGAGTAGATCTAGAGCCTTTATGGCATTTTTTTGTTCCTTGACTGGATTCTCGTAATCTTTGACAACATCCTCTTTTTCTGCTTTGACAAATTATTTTAGGCTCATCTAGAACACTGTCAGCCCCAATGTGGGGACAGCCCTTCCCCTGGTTCCTTTGGGTGCTGGGGTCAGTATCATGGGGCTGGTCATTGTTTCTAGACCTCTTCAGTGAATAGGATTAGGAAATGTTAAGGAGGATTTTTTGTTGCTTATTTGATTTTTAAGATAAAATACAACCTGAAGTTATACTGATACTTCAATTCAAATGCAGGACCAGTGTTTTTACTTAATCCTATCTATCTTACATCTCTCTTTTCAACCTCACTGAAAATCTCAGTTGTCAATGACGGCAGTACAATTCCTCATTTGACTTGTCCGACAATGCTAACAAACGAGTTTCAGAATACCAACGTAGTCAGTATGATTGCTGAGCTTTCTTAAATTGCTTTTTGTCCTTAAGGTGTGTCTTGTTAAGAATATATAGTCAAATAACCGTGTTTTAAAGCACCCTCTAGGCAGACATGCTAGCTCATCTTTCTCTTTAATTTTTAGAGGTTACTTTTATTTCATTTTTTTTTCACAATTACATATAGCATTTACAAGGTTTCAAGACAAATCTACGAAACAAGACAAAGTCAAAGTTGTCTAGTTGCTTCTATCCTTGCTATAATCACCACCAAGATTTAAATTATATGATTTTTTTTCCAATTGTAAGCAACTGCTTATTGCTGCAGTGTTCATTGCCCCTACTGTCTTATACCAACAGTGGCTGACTATATATATATTTTTGGTTCCATTTTGTCCTTTTCACTTAATATAGCCTGATGATTAGCTCATGGTAGATATTCCTCATTCTTTGTAAAATTGCACATACGCTATTGTGTAGATATACCACACTTTAAGTAACCAGTCCCCTACTGATGCACATTTGGGTTGTTTCCAGTCTTTTGTTATTATAAAGAGTCTACAATTGCTAGCCTTACACATGTCTTTTCATAGTTTTAACTAGTATATCTTTGGCATAGATTCTTAGAAGGAGGGTTACTGATTTAGAATAAATGCATACATAGCTTGTCAGATACTGCCAAATTTCCTTTCATGAGGGCTGTGCCACATCAGCATCTAAATTTCAGATCCTTTTGGAAATTATTCTGGTTTATTATGTAATTTCAAAAATGGATCTAAGTTCACAAAGAAAAATTTAGGTTGACTATAGGAAAAAAAAAAAAGGATCTAATTCTATCTTTTCTATATGTCTATCCAGTTATCCCAATACCATTTATCATAAAGCCCATATTTCCCCTCACTGATCTGAGTTGCTATGTTGGCAAATAATAAATTCCTATTTGCAAGTGAAGTCATTTTCTCGATCTTCTATTCCCTTCCACTGGTTTATCTTTTCATGTGCCAGTATCAAACTGTTTTAGTTATACAGACTTCACAGTATTTTTTAATGTTTAGCAGAGCTAGAACCCTTCTTGTTCTTTTACAGTTTTCCTAGCTCTCTTTGAAATAATCTCCATGCTGGAGAATCAGTTTAGATAATATCCCTAAAAGCAAAAGAAACTACTTAAAACATATTTCGAAGTTTGACTTTTGATTATGACAGAATCCCCATCATTATGTTAATTACATTAAAGAGGAAAAATTATAAAAGAAATGAACCAATAAAGACACCTACCTATTAATAAATGGCTAAAATTCGCAAATTCCTACCTAACTTAGAATAGAAAAAAAAAATTTAACTAGCAAATTTATGGCTGAATCACGGAAATTAGGGAAGTATGCCTGACACACTTATGTGAGCAGCTGTCACACTTATCTTGGTCGAGGAGGACACAAGACATTAGAAATCAGGATGATAATTTGTTAATTTCTTTGTGTCATGAACAACTCTAAATATATTTGAGGTTCACAGAAACACATACCTGGCAATCGTCTCCAGTACCACCTGACTGATTCAGCAAGTGTGCCGCGTCACTCTGGTTACCACTGGCATGTCCCAGACGGTGTTTAACAGGGACTTTGTTAAGAACATACGCACCTGGTGTCTGTGGTTTGCTCATTATCTGCAAAGACAAAATAAATACATATGTGGAAAGTTTTTAAAATGCCCAGAAATGATGCAAATTTAGGATAGTGACTAGTCTGGGGAAAAAGATAAAAGAAAATGGGAAGGGAAGGTGTTTTAATTATCTATAAGATTTTATTTTTTAAGTGAGTGGTAGCTACACAAATGGTTGTTATTATCCATACTTTTTTTGATGTCCGAAATACGTCACAACAAAATGCATGCATATACTCATATGTGTATATACTCATACAGAGAAAAATTTCTAATAATTTTGTTATGTTCCTTTCAATGTGTGATGCTTTTAAAGATTTGAGGGTTTTAATCATATTTAGCTTAATATGAACAATAGTGTGCTATGGCCACCCCAAAACATAATGCAATCTTGAACTGCATTAACATAGCAGGGTCTAATGGATCACAGAGGTGATGGTATCACTTTTATACACCATTTGGCCAACTTCTAGAGGAAGCATTCACCTTTGGACCCTAACATGAAATGGGACATGAAATAGACAAAAGAAATGCAGTGATAGGTGCAAAAAGCAGGATGATGAACGGAATTAAGACTTGGTGCTACAAGGAATACTTTTCATTTTAAAAATCTGAATGCATTTAATCCAAACAAGAGAACACCTAGCAGGAGATTATCATCAATATCTAAATGGCTCTAATGCATGGTGGCTTGTTCTTTCCTTCCTGCATCTATTCATTCAAATATGTTTTCGCAATATGTGCCAGGTCTTGTTTTAGGCAATATGGACAGAACGAATACAACAGACAAAACCCCATTCTCTTGGAGCTTCCATTTCAGTTTTAAAAGGAACAGAGTTTTTCTACACCGGAAAAAGGAGGACAAAAGGGTGGGTACAAGAGTGACTGACTCTAATACAAACACTAAGAAGCTCTAGACTCAGTCATTCAGTGGTGGGCGGTTACTATACTTCGGCATTGAGAAGAATCACAAGGTTATTTCTTAAACATGAAGACTTATGGGCCCTCCCTGTAGCTAGAGACTGACTCTGTAGGTTTGGAAAGACAAGGCCCAGGAATTTGCACCCAGATAAGTGATTCTGATGTAGAGCAGCACTTCTCAAACTTTAGGACCCACAAGAATCACCTGGAACAACAAAAGAATCCATCAATAAAACAAAAAGGAAGCCTACTGAATGGGAGAAGATATTTGTCAACAAGATATCTGATAGGGAGTCAATATCCAAAATATATAAAACGCTCCTGCAACTCAACACCAAAAAAACAAACAACCCAATTAAAAAATGGGCAGAGGATATGAAGAGACTTAATGAGGACATACAGATGGCCAGCATATGAAAAAATGTTCAACCTCACTTAGCATTAGGGAAATGCAAATAAAAACCACAATGAGATACCACCTTACCCCGGTCAGAATGGCTATCAACAATAAATCAACAAACAACAAATGTTGGCGACACTGTGGGGAAAAGGGAACCCTGGTGCACTGCTGGTGGGACTGCAGACTGGTGCAGCCACGATGGAAATCAGTATGGCAGTATCTCAAAAAAACTGGAAATGGAACTACCTTATAACCCAGCAATTCCACTCTTAGGTATTTATCCAAAAAAACCCAAGACATTAATCCGAAAAAATATATGCACGCCTATGTTCATTGTGGCGCTATTCACAATAGCTAAGACTTGGAAACAACCAAAATACCCATTGGTAGACAACTGGATTAAGAAACTGTGGTACATTTACACAATGAAGTATTACTCAGCTATAAAAAAGGAAATCGTACCATTTGCAACAATATGGATGGAACTAGAGAACATTATGCTAAGTGAAATAAGTCAGTCAGAGAAAGACAAATGCCATAT